CTAGCTTTGGGAGTGAAGCAAAAATGTCTACATGTGAATTGTTTCATGTTTCTTTTTGGCTATATTCATGCTGTTTTTCTTAAGGCTAACTAAATGTTATGAAGCTCAAATTGGCAATGGTCACATCCAAATTGAAGACTCTTCTCTTGGTCAATTCCTCTTCAGTGCAGCATTTGAGAGGGCTTGGCGATCTGGAAGAGATTCAAGGCATGGAACCTTCTACACACCATGTAAAGACAGCCCCTAGCTAATCAGGGACCTCCTAGATGGAGCTCTCCCTTCCTCCGCTCTGTTCTCTCCTACTCAGTGTAACGGAGGTCACTTACAAAATCCACCCCACTTGTACCCTTGTGCACTGTGTGTTGTGTTTCTTAGGAATGTGCACATCTGGAATCCCTGAACAACTGAAAATGCACCTGCAAAGTCCGAAAAGGGAAGAAAAGTTAAGCCTGTTTTTAGCTCCTTTTTGAAAATAAACACTTCCATCAAAACTGAAGGCTTGAAAGCAAAAAGAATCTGGCAGTGGGAGTCAGTTTCAAAGGTTTGTTTTCTGAAACCAACATGAATGGATAATAAAGTCAAAAATACAATATGGCTTTATAGGCTCTAAAATGCAGATACCTTTTAAACAATAAACAAAGTTTTTGGTTTTTTTCCTGCAACGTCACTTTAAAATCACTTCTAGATCTACACAAACTATCAATCAGTTCGTATTCCTTTCACTGCTGGCCTTAAAATAACTTAGTATTTTCCAAAAGTTATGTCTTGAGCTATATTCTCTTACAATTGCCTCCACAAACTTGCCTCTTCTCACATTTTTCCCTCTCACTCTCCCTGAATGCCTAACACCCTCTACAAAGAGCATTAACGAAAGAAAGAGTTTTTCCCCAGCTTTCTATGATGAAGCCTGTCCTTAAGGAACTTTAGCCTGGCCAGCAGACCACTCTCCACTAAAGCTGCCCAAGGCTAGGCACTACAAGGGAACCCAAATCCCCTCCCTAGACCCATCACAACCCTCCACACTGGATGTGTACATAAAACGGCGATGGGTTTCTCTGTTTTAGAGGGATATTGTAAAAACCATATTATCAGGCGTGGCATATGACAGATTGGCCCAACTTTACTTCATTCATCAACATCTGGCTTTGAACGACAAATTCACAGGGCCCAGAGCAGTCACCAGTTGTCTAAACTCAATATCAATCTCAAATAGATATGCAACCATGTATTAATAAAACACCCAATGAAGAAGCACAGTATTTGCAAGTAACTAAAAAGTCTATTGTCCACAGGAAATTAAACATTTTTCTTTGTGGTGTACCCATGTAAATGCTCACAAGTAACTCACGTTCCTTACGCACTTGGCTTTGGGTACAGTACCATTTCCATTAGGAATGTCCAGTGAAAAGCACTTTGTGATGGATACAAGCACTCAATTCAGGTACACTCACAGGGCAAACTCCCAAATTATGAAACAAAGGACAACAGCATTTCTGCCAAGACGTTAAACATTTTAGGACCTTCCTGCAATACCTTTCCCCAAGTGTTCATTTCAGAAAGCTTATATTTACTGGTTTTCATATCATTCACCTTACAAGGAATGACTAAACTATAACTAAGCTACTTCTAAAGCAGTCACTGGGCCTTTGCCTAACATAGAAGAACAATTTTGCCCCAAATAAAGAGCAACCCACTGGCCGTAGCTACTAATAATATAACCGTAATAACTTATTTGTTCAACACAATATTAGTAATTTTTAAAGACAAAATTCCCAAATTTGCAGAAACTGGCTTCACTAACTGATGTTGTTGGGGTTGTGGGAGGGAGAAGCACTCAGCATCAGTGTCGTCCTCGGAGTAACGTGATGTTCACACGTGCAATTTGCAAGAGCCTTAGCAATGACTGTGAAGTCAAAACCAGCGGTTTTACAACTGCTGCTCTTGCTCTGTAGAATGAGAAAACCAGCGCAGGCTACTGAACATGATGGAATTATTGGTACCAGAATTAGCTAACTGAAATGGGTGAGCTCACTAGCAAGTTTTATCTGCAATGGCAAGAAAGTTCTTCTCTCTCCTAAAGTTGGCATCGGCCATAGTTTCCATGAAAACTTACTTCAGAACAGAACTCTTGGAAACTAGAGATGTTTTTAACTATCAAAGGAAGACAAAACCCAATCTGAGTGACTTCATGATTGGCTTAGTTAATGGTCTCTATGGCAGTTGTTCATTTTTAGCAGTTTTTAAAATCCTACACTTGCTTCCTTCTGATGTTCTGCACATTTCCCTGCTCCCTTTGGGTGACAAATATTAAAGCATCTTTGCTAGTGTTACTAGTTTGATAATAATTTCCTACCTAATGTAGGAAATTATCACTTAAGGAGACACAGATCACCCCATGTTAAGGACTGAACTGTGTTCTGCCAAAATTCCTAGGTTGAAAACGTAACATGCAACTTGACTGTATTTGGAGATAGGACCTTGAGGGAGGCGATTAAAGTTAAATTAGGTCATTAGGGTGGGGCCCTAATCCAATAGGATTGGTGTCCTTACAAGATAAGGAAGACACATGCAAGATCTCTCTTTCCACGTACACAGAGGAAAGGCCATTGAGGACACAGTGAGACAGTGGCAGTTTATAAGGCAGGAAGAGAGCCCTTACCAGAAACCAGATTTGCTTTTGGACTTCCTAGCCTCCAGAACAGTGAGAAAATAAATGTCTGTCGTTGAAGTCACCCAGCCTGTGGCATTTTGCTATGGCAACCCAAGCTGACTAAGATACTCCGTCTACAACTTGACTGTTACAGCCCTAACAGACTGCAGTGCATGGGCCGCCCTGTCAACTGTGCCCTGTCACTGGGCACTCTCATGTACTTTATCTCAGTGTGATGTTCACAATACCCTATGAGCTAGCACTGTGATTGGTAGAAAGAGTCAAGACAAAACTGTTTGAATCCTGGGCCACTACTTCCCAACAGCAAGATCTTCAGCAAAGTTCTAAATGTTTAGGACAAAAAGTCAAGTAGAGAGGGTTAAGAAGATTACCAAGGAGAAGTGGCAGTTACACTAACCTCAGGTGGCACGATTTGTAATGCAGAGCAGAGGGCACCACTGCTACTGAGCTGGGTCAGGCCTTCTGACCTGACCTTGCCTCTGTGATTTATCGGGGTCCTTGACTCACTCAGTTCAATAGCTGTCTTCTGTCTGCAAGACAATCCAAGGTCCTTAGCATGACCCGGAGGCCTTTTGCCAGCTGACCCCACCTACCACTCCAGCATCTTTTTTTTTTTTTGCCTTCTACCATACTGAACTAATTTTAGTTTCCTCCAAGCTCCAGGCCCTTTCATTGCTTCTAGGCCTTCAGTCCCACGGTTCCTCTGAGATGCTTTTTCCCTTTAATGCCTGGAGAGCAAACATTCTTTTTTAAAAGGTTACCTCCTCCAAGAAGCCTTCCAGGATCACCTAAAGTAAAACTGATCACTCGTCTCTCCTTTTCACAAACTACCTGAGCCTTGTATATTTTCCTAAGATCACATAGCCTTTCATATTTCATCAGTTCTAAAACGCTCATTTTTCACATTTCAAAAATCTCTGACATTAGGATGTATCTTAGACCAATAGTGTCAGTTTAATTGGTAGGATTTTTTATTTCTTGTTGGTACAAAAATGGTGCATCTTATACTCAAGATCATTGATGAAATGCAGCTTCATTTTTTCTTTTTACCTTTTTAAGGTGAGTGAAGCAGTGCTCCACATCTGGAGGCGATTTTGTTTCCCCTCCCACCACACACATTTATCAATTTTTGGTTGTACAAATTGGTAGGGAGGGTATGCTGCTGGCATCTACTGGATGGAGGCCACAGAAGCCACTAAACATCCTATAATGCACAGGACAACCCCCCTACAACAATCATCCAATCCAAAATGTCAACAGTGTGGAGGCTGAGAAACCCTAATGTATGTAGAGTAACAATATCTATTTGGCTGTATGCTCTGCTTTATTATGTTTGATTTTAAATTAATCTTTTACAATATTTAGTGCAACCTAATATATAGCAATTTTTTCCAAACCTTGGCTTTTGGAGGAAGCATAGCAACTCTTGAGAAATGCTCTAAGCTTTCTTTATTACCTCTCCTTCATTTCCTTCTGCCAGAGTCCCCAGGGGAATGAATGAAGCAAAGCTCCAGATCGGAATGGGAAAGCTGGAAGATCTCAAAGAGAGTTGTGACCTTAAGCCAATCAGGTTAGTTAATGGCACAGCCAAGACTGGATCCCACACCCCCAGACTTCCATGATCCCACTCAGCCTGGGAGGCAGCTGCTCTGCTCCCTGGCTAAAGTGGCTAACACAGTTTGGTACCCTAAGAGGAAACTGTGCCCTACAAATATGAGCTGCGTGACTTAGCAGGAGTTTAGCATGAGTATTCACGCTTCAACACCCGGAACCCACCCGCTTTCATGCTACTTTATGAGAATTTAGGTTGACTCTTTAAGACCCCAGAGCTCTATGGGGAATTGGATTTATGCAAAAATAACTGCAATTCATAAGTGTGAAAGAACTTTAAATAAATGTAGGTGATTTTCATCATACAAAAGGCAGAGAGGACTTAATATGTATATTTAAGGCTCTAGAGGAACTGTTATTAACTTGGAAGGGGAGTTAGGGGAGCAGTCCTCCATCCCTAGAAGTTGCACGTGTCCAAAGGGCCTTCAGCTGGAGCAGGAAGCTGATTTACCTGACAGAGGAAGGAGTTCCAGAGGAAGGTTTTGGCCAGGCCTTTCCGCATTTCTGTTCTGCAGTCAGGTGGGCCCCAGGTGGACTGAGTTCCCTGCCCCGAGTGCCGAATCCCCATAGTGTCACCTCCCTCCTTCCCTCTCCCGGGGTGCGGGGTGCTGAATCTCTGGGGAAAGCTTCACTTTGGAACCCCCGGCTCAGCCACCTCTCTGTCCTGGCCGGCTGCCCGGCTCTGTGGAGATCCTAAGCCACGGAGGGGCAGACTCACCTTCAAGTGGATGGGGAAGGACCGCTCCTGCTGGAGGGGGCCCAGCAGCGTCCGCTCCACGTTGACCAGCTTCGAGGTCGAGTCCACCACGCGGGCCAGCGTGCTGCGCATCGCCATCCGGGCCAGGGTGCAGGGCCCGCGACCCCCGGGTAAGGGCAGCAGTTCCATGCCTCCCTAGACGCCTAGCACCACTTCCACCTCGGGGGAGCTCGCCTGCGCCCTGGACTCTGGATTCTTGGAGCCCCTGCCTCCATCCCCCACTTCTCGCCCTGACCCCTGCCCGGCCACCTGCTGGCCTGAGCGACGCGCTGGGGCGGTGGATACGTGGTCCAAGTCGCGCGGACGTCCTGGAGTCCCTGGACCGTCCCCCCAGCCCCACTCCGGCTGCAGCAGCTGCAGGGTATGCAAAGCCACCATTTGGTGGCTGATGGAGGCCACTAAGGGCGCGGGGCTAGCCATTGCCTCCACCAGCCAACAGGGCGTTCCGCGGGCAGGTGCAGCAGCGGCAAGCAAGGGAAGTGTGGGCGTTTGGGGTTGCCAGGGTCACATTTCCTGGCCCACGGCTCCTCGATCTCCTGGCCTCTCACCGTGTGGGGCCGGCCCCGCCCCCGGCCTGCAGTCAGTGACCTGTACTGGCCCCTGCATTCCCTTCAGGTCTGAATGGGCTTGTTCCATCTCAAGGCAGACTGAAACGCTGTTGCCCGTTGAAAATCAGCCAAATGCTGAGCTCTGGATCTTCCTCCTCTCCAGGGCTTTGCAGGGAAAACGTACAGCTTTGTGCAGATGCATCTATCTGCAAGGATAGGCAGCCCCCATACCCTCTGAAGGATGTCTGTCAGTGACCATTCACACCCTGGGGGCTAGGGACGCGGAGTGGGGGTGGAGGTGGGGGTGAGGGTGGGGGGCAGCTCACATGGGTAAAAGATCCCCTAGGAAGTGAAAAGTGTGAAGAGAAAAGCTCACAAAAGGAAGGCTGTGCTTGATTCTCCTCCCTCCCTTTCCCAGCCCTTGGGGAATTTCAGGCACTTCTTGGAGTAACTGTCAAGGCTCCTGTCCCCCACACAATAGAAGGGGACTTGTGTATCCTCTTTGCTTTGCTCCAAGCCACATGTGGTGGGAGGGCCTGACTGCCAAAGCCGAAGTGAGGGCAGGACTCAGCCTTGGCGGCCTGCTCCTGAAGCGACTTGGGACGCAGGGGCCTGGCACTGCCCAGATGAGGAGCCTAAATGGTTTTTGTGAAACTCCCAAAGGGCTTAGGCAGCAGAGTTTGAAGCTAAATCCTTTTACGAGCCATGAACCCAGGGACAGCTGTACAAATAGTTGCTGGTTTTAATTAAACCTAGCTTCACTACTTCCTTGACTTGGGAAAAGGGGGCTGGCAAATTTATGCTTTGATAGATTGAAAACTATTGGTGTGTGATTACACTTTAAAAAAAAAAAAGTATTT